GTGTGTTAAAATGAAAATACCCGAATTTTTAAGCTAAAGTGTAATATGTTGAATTATTATAATGTCATGACTGGTAGAGCACTTTTATAAATCGATCAAACTTTATTGGCCTTTCCTTTTTCTTCTTTGCTTATATTAACATAGTCATACTTGGGATTGAACTCAGTGGTAGCCAAGACTATAAAGGCACATAAACACAAAAACCTTCTTCTCTGAAGTCTTCAGTCTCACTAAGAATGGAACTCACCAACATCAGATCAAAATCAGTGATACCTACAACTGAAAAAAAGCATTTGTAGGGGCTCATTTTGGATCCTTCTGTATGCACAAATGGAGCATAATTATCTTTCTACATGTAGAAATGTATCTTGTCTTATTCTATCCATTCTGTGGATAAACTGTTCAGTTCACTGCTTTGATAAAAGCTTTCTAAAACACTTTAATAATTTCCCAAATACTCAAAACAGCCCACGCTTTGGCTTTTTTTTTTCTTTAATAAAAAAAAATAAAATAAAAGCTGGAGGTTTACTAAGATCACAGATTTGGCTGTTTGTTGTGAAATCCAGGTGGAAGAAAAAAATCAAATAATTCTTGGTATTTAACATGATAATTCTAACTGAGACTCATAAGGCAAAGAGACTTAATCTAATTATCTATGCAAGGTATGTAAATGCGAGTATCCAGAAATAACGACTTTATTACAGTGTTGATCTTGTGTGGGTGGAAGACTGCTTTAGAAGAAACCTGTGGGAAATGATCATGTATTTCACCTGCATATTATACATTAGAGGAGAGCCCAGAGGTACAATAAGAAATACATTTGATAAGAGTCTTACACATAAGAAATCACTAATTTAATGCATTAATCACTGGAGTACAATTATAGACCTTAATTTAGAAGGCATTAGTCATTCACCGTACATAACCTTCTGTGGCTCTTAGAATTTCATTGCCTGACTTCATTACAATTGGCAAATGTCGTTTGCATAACCAGCACACAGAAGGGCCACATTTTTTCAGTATTAGATCCACTCCATTAAATTTAAGGGAGAACACCTCTGGATCTTACTTCAATAAAGATTAAAACACAGTTGCTGTTTAGGATGGCTTATAAAGATTGTACGTTATTAATACATTTTATTAGCATGTTGAAACCGGAGTGGTATACACTGGAAATGTTACAAGCACAACCACAGAAGACATCATAGTTGGTAATAAACCATAACAATAAACAACCTATTGACCTGTTGAAGTCCTTACTAAAATATGAAACAAACGTCTATTTGTTACAAAATCTGTTAAAGCTTTTATTGGATTTCATAAATGAACTTTCATGTAAGGTATTTTCTTGAAATTACTAATATCCTTAAAATTAAGTATCTCAGTACTTAAGGTCAAGAAGTTGCAACTATCTAGGACACAGTGAAATTTTGTAAGTAATTACTTGTATTTTTGGTGTTTTCATGTGCACAGTGGAGAGAACATCTTTTCTTTTTACATCTTTCCTAATCCGTTATGGTGCCAATGGGATCTCAGTCAGAGAGTTCAGAAGTGTCTGACTTGAGCTCAGCAGAACTGCAGGCAGTGGCATTTGCACATAAACCTGCCTACTAGGCATCTAGCTCACCACGTGTATGTGGCTTGCATAACACAAAGGAGGAGCTGGAAACGTATCCATACATAGATACAGCAGCAGAAAGACAATTTTTGGTTTAGCTTCAAGTCATTCCTTGCAAGCATCTGAACAACATGACGTGGTTGTGTAGGTGTTCCTTTTGTCAACAAAACACAACACCTTCATCTGTATCATTAAGAATTACATTCCTCTACAATGAAAGCATTTAAAGATGTCAGCACAGAGCTATGGAAAATATGGTGTGTGTTGGGGGGGGGGAGGGGTGGGAAGGGGACTATGAGAAAGTAACAGGCTGCTTTAACAGACAATTTAGCTGTTTCTTTACTCTGACTTATACAGGCATAGGAGCTGAATATACTGGCATCTTTTACACAGTCGTGTAATTTACACATTTTAAACTCTGAGTTTTTTAATAATAGGATCAGAAGGATTTAATCCAGAAGCAAGATTTCACTTGTAACAATAGTCTGTGAACATAGTTCAGTGATAAATCCAAGTCAATGCATCAACCTAAAAATGTCCTAGGTTGGATTTTCAACCAAACCTTGGCAAGAACTTTCACAAAGTGAAAAATTTGTGACTACTTGTTAGCAGGAACTGACTGTACAACAAACAGCACTGAATACTATGTCACTATGCGAGAAGCTTCTGTGCTGAAACGTACAAAATATATTAAATAAAAGATGTTCAAAGACAACATATCCAAGCTACAGCAAGGGAATGATAAGCAAAGTATCCACACAAGAAACAGGGTGAGGTATGTGCAAACATGACTAAATCCTGTCACTGGGTCTTACTGTCACCACCTGCAAAGAAATGCTGTGGTGGCTGGCTGGGTAGACAAGAGACTTAACTACATCCATACTGCCTTTTCCTATTAATTACAGCTTAGATCAGTACTGAAAATACACAGAACTTCAGGCACCCAGTTCCATCTATACAATTATGAGAGAGAAAAGCAGGACTGAATAGAAAATTAGCATTATGTATTTTGGCATAAGTATCTCAACCATTTCCTCACACTGAAAATTTGCACAAAATGGACACTTTTTTAATATCCCATGTGATCTGACAGAATTTCATAGGATTTTTCCTAAACTGATTTATTTGGCTTTGTCTGATTCTCTGTGTTTCATTTAAATTATTCCAAGTTTAGCAAAATTACTTATCTCCAGATACACAAGTCCTGTTTTCAGTGGCCTTTGAGCTATTGCTTCAGTGCCTGGGTGTGTTGCAGTCTCTCACCTGATTTAACAAGTAGAATAGATCACAGGCAACCAAAGAGCTGCACTGATTAAATTAAAACATGTATATGTATTATTACTCATAAGTACCCAATACAAAAGTGACAGTAAATATCAGAAATAATGAGAAAAAACAAACAAACAAAAAAGAGCAGTAAGAAGACAGGCACTTTGGTATCATTTCTGGCCCAATCAATTCCACATAAAGCAGAACAGCTTCATCTGTACAGAGGGAGAACTTCCTATCTAGATATCCTATGATCTGATGGGACATCATGGCACATCAGGGACAGAAGCAGCATTCAGATCCTAGTAGAAGAGAGGCTGCTGGAAGGAGTGAGGTAGCCATGGAGTGTAGGTGTAGGCGAGGAGTACTACAAATTGCTGGAAGCTCTGTGTGTAGGCTGTCTTAGACATTCATCTCTAAAACAGGTGTAGAGTTGTGCAAACCCCAACAGAGGTGAGACTCATTTAATTTAAGAGGTGAATCTTAAGACATGACCCTTGGTTCCACTCTTCTAACTATCGAGATTAAGTCATGCTTTGGTTAACGTGATGTAATGTGTATATCCACTGTTTTAGGAACCTGTTTCTCCCATGCAATGCAACTAAATCCCCAGCTCACAGCTGCGGGTATGGCCAGGCAGCAGTGTGCTAAAAAGTTAGTTGTCTGGGCCAGTGAAAAACTTAAGAAACAAGCACTTTTACAAAGAGCATCAATTTCCAGATGTCTTTAAGTGAAAAATAAAAACTTAAATTACTGCGTATCTAAATAAGTGATAAAAACGCCATTTCTTTTTTTAGACCTCTTTTCATTCCTGTTGTTTACATTCCTCTTCACGAATTACCGTAACAGGCACATAAATCAGCTTCGTGTAAGGCAATGAAGGAGGGAGAACAGGCTGACCGTCTGAAATGGGCTAAGCCTGCGAGCAGAGGGTCAGCGGCTTGCAGCAGGCTTTGCTTGGAGGCAGCGCACATGGCAGGGCAAGCAGTGCTGGAGGTAAGAGACGGGGGTGTGGGGGTCCTTCTACTGGCAGATCAGCTGGAACAGCTCAGGCACCAAGCAGCTTGCGCTGTGTAGGCTGAGGTGAGGCAGTGGGATCACCTTTTACGCATTAAACTGCTGCTTCGGAAGAAGCCGGGCGAAGCCGGATCCCCTTCCCGACACCTAGCGGCAGCCCGCAGGAAGCCAGTCGGGACTCCCACCCTCGGAGCTAATTCACCTGCCGGTGCTTAATTCCTCCCGGCTTCTCCTGGATGTCTTTCTCCTCTCTTTTGGGTTTCGACACCCCCGGCCCCCGCTGCTGCTGCCCTGCCAGTGCTGGGCACGGCCGGCGCTCGGCTCCCGGCTCTGCCCCTGCCCGCAGCCCCCGCCGTGCCCGGGACGGGACGGGACGGAGGAGGTGGAGGTGGAGGTGGAGGTGAGTGGGGGCAGCTGGGGACTGCGGGGGTCCTCGCTAGGGGAGGCTCAGCCGCAGGCAGGGGGGCGCCGAGCAGAGCCGAGCCGGGCGCCCAGCTCGGAGCCCCCTTCTGCAGTGCTTTGATGCATACCTCTAGCTGTGGCTGTCCAAAATGAGGCAGTGGCTGCCGATTTGGTTTAAAATGCGATCGATGCTCAGCTGTCACCGCACACTGTGTGTACGCTCCGTGCCTTATTGCTAGGAGCATTCAGCCAGGGCATGGGAGAGTTCACGCAGCTCTGTCCTCTGCCTGAGGACATCTGCCTTCCTTCCTCCTGACTGGCAACAGGCTTTTTGCCATTCTTCGGCTTCTTTTTTAAGCTATGCCATTGTGCAAGAACTTCCAGAAGCTGATTGAGACAGGAAGAAGTAGAAACTAGCTTACATGTAACAGGAAGGGCAAGAAAAGTCTCCAGGCCTTCTGGGTGAGCATTTGTGTCGTCAGGCTGTGCGAAATGTGCTGAGGTCGGATCTCTTCCCCCCTTCCCTCGGCCTCTGTGCAGAGCATCACCCCCCGTTAGACAGAAACATGTCTTCAATGAATCTTGGATGTTATTCACTGAGGTGTAAGAGCAGTAACAGAAGAGGAGGAGAGTGCCTCCGGATGAAACTAACCAGTGCTCACAGTTAATAGGTAGGTATTTGTACTACAGGAAGGGTTGGTGGTGCGGTGTATGATTTGAGATTTGAGTTAGCTCCACCGATGAGTTGGAGCTAACTCAAATCTATTCTAATCTAAGACCTATTGCAAAGAAATTCAGAGGTATCATTTCAACATCCCAATTCCAGGAAAGAGGGGAGGAGGTTTTTAACTTCACTGAAATGCTGGGCAGAGCGGTTGTCTGCCTCTCAAGACGTTTGTGGTTCTTCTGTCACTGGCCATTTGCAGCTTGTTATCTTTCGGTTGCTTTTTTAAAACATACGTTGCGAAAGCAAACATCTTTGTTATCTGCTATCAACACCTGTCTCCACACTCTTCTAAAACTTCCTTAATAAATACTCCGTCCAGATTGGGTCCCAGGAGTGACAGAGTGGCTACTGTGCCATTTCCCTTCCAAGTGGCCATTTAGTCATGTTTGCTGACTTCAGCTACTTACTGCTGTTTTATGCTTGGCCACAATTTCATTGGCGTGACAGTGCTGCTTGGCTTTATAAAAAGATTAGTTTTGTAGATAAGGCTATACCAAATTCTGCTTGTGATCCTAGGATTTAGTCTGAATGCTGCTTCTCCATTCACTGCCCCTTCCCCAAGGTTTTCTGTCAATTCTCTGAAAGCTGGCCTCCTGTAAGTTTAAAATTGCAACCTCCAACTCAGCTGTCATTCCTGATAGTTACTTCCTATGATCTCTTTGATGTTTTCCAGGAGAGAGTTTTAAATTTGGCTGCTTCTAATTATCCTGCAAGCGTGCACACACACACACACACACACACACACACACACACACAAAACAAAACAAAAAAAAGAAAAGAAAGAAAAAGGCTCTTTTGTCCCTGAGCTAAATCCTCTGTGTGAGAAACACAGCCCAAAACAGTAGCTACGTTTCTTGGTTTCTCAAGGGAAACGCTGCTTCACTGGAGTGGCTTCTAGTCTAGACCCGGCAGCTATCACATGTTAACTTTCAAAGAAAAAGAAGTCAAGATGGACTCAGGGTATGAGACAAGAATTCTTGAGCACAAGCACTTTGTGCAAGTGAGCAAGTGTCCCTGCTGGGAAGCAACCATAGCAGTGAGTTGAAAAAACAGGAATCTTCACTGTCCTCATTGAAGCCTTGAGAAGTTCATTTCTTTACAACCTGGAAGAGAGTAAGAAGCCTTGCTGGTCCTCTTCTCATGGCTATTTGAGGCTCTCTCTGCCTTCGTCATCCCCCATCAGACACAGTGACAGAGCAGCCTGGGCTGCCTGGGGTTGACAGATGGGCCAGTGCCCAGCACTGGGTCCCTTTGCTGCAATAACCACCCAGCTGGCTGCTCAAGCACAGAAAAGCAGGCTGCCTCTGCTCAGGAGGGAGACACTCAAAACAGTTCCAGGAGCTGGAGTCTGGGGCTGCAGCACCCCCTCTTCTGTCTATCTGGTTTGCTCCTGTCCCCCAGAGAAATGGAGCAGAGCATGCTTTAGTCTGTATGTTCAATTTTTTCCCCTGTCCTTCTGGAGACCACATTGTTTTAAAGAACTGTAATAGCAGAAGAAGAATAGAGGAATCACGCTCTCTGAAGTGTGCATGCCTGCATCTCATCATATAATCTGAGGGGATATCAAAATGAATCTAAATGATGAATAGGATCTAGATAATTACATCCAATATGTAGCTTCTGATTACCCAAACCAGTGGCTGGTTTTTATGGCCCTTCTGCTCTGTCAGATCACATAATGCCTTCTTGCCTTAGGTCCCCCACCTGTGAAAAGAACTGTCTCAGTACTCACTTGCCTTATAATATGCTCTCTGATTTTAAGTTGGAAAATGCTGTATTTGAGTTTAGTGTCCTAGCAGCTTAAGGGAGAGGCTCAGGGGCTTCAAAGGTGCACATTCATTAATCATCTAATGAATTATTTTTTTTTTAGGTTGTAATTGACTAGACAGGTCCCATATGTAGGGTTTGTTTACATTGCACAGTTTTTATGCGCACAAATGCATATATTGGGATGGCTTAGAGCCTGGACAAAAGCTTGGGGATTTATTTATTTATTTTTGTTTCAGTGGGTAGATTTGATCTAATTGGATAACAGCAATGATACATATTTTCACAGTACCAGTTGTCCTTTATCTGGTCAATCTAAGAACAAAGGCTTACTGGTTGTGATTTATTTTTTAAGATCTCTATTATGGCCTAGGTGAGTATTGTACACAAACTCCTTTTCAGCAGGCTTACCATGAGATTAAAAGAAAGAGGGTGCTCTTTGAAGGTCTTTTGAAGGTTCTGAGAAATTTTACCAATTAAAAAATACAGATAGCCCTTCACAGTTAGTATGTATAACCAGTCTCTTAGAAAGATGTCTGTAAGTGTCGCCATGAGTGAAGAAAATCATGTAAGAATATTAGATAAGGATATTTAACTTGTTCTGCACTTCTCTGAGAAGCAGAAATGACTCTCTTTGTGGAATTGTGGCATGACTGGATACAGAGGTATAACAGAACAGAGAGGCTCTTTCATTTGTATGGCAGGAAGGGACCAGGAATTGAAGAATGAGATTGGGAAAAGCAAATTTTTCTGTTCACGTGAACTTAGTAGCATATAGGCAGCCAAGTCCCCCAAAATCTGATCCAAAAGGCCCTTCCTTCAGCTAGTCAACCTGCACAGCACCACCATGTGTCCTTCTGCTACTCCCAGTACGTGCAGCCATTGCACAGGTGCACCTCAGGGTGAGGAGCCTTGCACAGCAGTTACAGACCCTCTGGAGACCGATGTGAAAAGACAACAGCTTTATATCCTTGGGGGAGCCTTCATGGAGCACTTTATTGGTACCTTTATTATATATACACAACACTCACCTGTCATCCAGTGGCCTACAGAAAATGGCCTAGATGTTTTTGTGAAAGTTAGCATGAGCAAACAATTTGCATCCTTCTTGTGTGTGTGTGTGCGTGCAGTTAAATAAAAATTTACCAGCTTTACCTCTGTCTAGTCTTTATCTGCTGACCACATCCCACAGACCTAAATTACGAGTATTCTTGGTCACAAGACTTCATCTGTATAGAATTACTTCAGACAGTCTGTTCTTGTGGTGGGCAACACAACTTCTCTCACTGACTGAGTCATCATCTAGGGAAATCCTCCATAGGAGGATATCAGGGTCACTGCAATGAGTTACTGAAAAAAATCTTAAACTCTTTAAAGCTTGTTGTTAATTGTATCAAACAGTTCTCTAGAGCCTGTCCAGTTAGCCAGCACTTCTGATGTTTTGTTCCCCAAAAGCTCTGGCTGAAAATGCAAAACTATTTAGGTCAGCTGATTATTTTCATGAGTACACGAGTGCCTATCAGTTGAGCCAGCTTGTGCTGGTTCATATTTGACCTAGGTTATGTGGCAGAAACAGGAGGTGCTGCTGAGGAGAGTAAGCATGCTACTAAAAGCTGTGCAAAACCACTTCGGAGACTGAAATTTTCCTTTCGTATCACTTTTTAAATAGCAAGTGAACATTCTCAGCCATCAACAAGGAGAAAAATAGGGTACGTAACCCATTCTTTATTTATGTGGACTCAATGCGTTTTTGCTGGGGACAGGGAAGGGGAAATGGCGAGTGCTTTGCAACTCTCCATGGAATAGCTTTTATTTTAACTTCTTCCTGACTTCTGTACATGAAAAAGTTGACAGTCTTAGTTCCTCTTTTCAGCTATACTGCAGGCCCTGCTCACTGACCGCTTCTGTCGATGTCCTAAGATGTACACAGCTGTGCTGAGAAGGACAGGCAGCACTACAACATCCACTCTCAGGTACTGTCAATTCCCTTCCTTTTTTGCTGTGCTAGGGAAGGTTTCTGGGTGATTTAAAACCATGGTAACAAAAATTAGTTTTTTTTTAAAAAGGTAGTGCAATGTTATAAGTCAGTTCCAGACTACTCTAAGCAGCTGAATCTGCCTTCACTGATCCAGATGCACACTTCCTAGGGAGTCCAAGACGCAAACTACAATATTTGCATTCTGTGTGCATTTGCTTGCTGCTTTTAGATCTAGATTCACCTTGTATTGTAAAAGTTCTTTTCATTGCTTAGAAACTTACCTGCTAAGGGCTTTCCACCCCCAAAGCATTTGCTGTGTTTTTTCTTCCTCTTCCTCCTGCTACTTTTCTCTTTCCCCTTTACTGCTTACCCCTTCTGACATCACTGAAGTAGAAAGAAACAAAACCCCACATGCAGAGCTCTTGTTCTCTAAACTTCATTGCTCCATTTTTCAATAACAAATTAAGCATTTATACAATCCTTCATCTCCAGGAACATGCATATAACTGAATGGGATGATGGCCATTTTGTAGGAAAAATACTCTTCCCAAAAGGTTGTAGGTACTAATGTACCTATATTATTGCTATTAAAGTACCTAATGGTGAAGGGTTGTACAAAGTACTAGATAGGGAGATTCTATTAAATTAAAAATTGTTGCTGTCTTCACAAGCACAGTAACAGGCATTATGCTGCTAGCATCCTGCTCTTCCTCATGAAGAGCCCAGATCTGTGGGGAAAAAGTAGTAGCCTTTGCAGAAAACATTGAGGGAGCAAACAGTTTACAAATGAAACCTTCCTTGTCACCAAACCTGAGCTGAGGTGAAGTATTAGGACTGTTAAGAGATTGATAGAGATTTTTAACTTACAATAACATAGAGAAGCAGATAAAATGTAAAAGCAGAGGTGGTTAAAAATATTTTACCTTTTTTTATAATTATTTTCTGATAGTAAAAATCAAGATAGATTTTTTAATTTAAAAATAATAAACAATGTGTTCTCATAGCTCCACTCTAAACTTTTTGAGCTTTTTCTTGTGGTAAGTTGGTATACATTTATATTAAATGTTGACTTCCAAAGTACTTTCTATCTGTCATCAGTTTTGCTAATGTTATGACTTTGCCAAAACTCAAAACAAAACAAACAAACAAAACAAAAAACAAACAAACAAACAAACAAAAAAGCTATAGCATTTGAGCAGATACCTGGAATGGAATTTAAACATCTGTAAAATAATGATCTGCTTGCTATATGTTTAGCTGTGTCTTCTTTTAATAACCTACAATATCTTGTAGGGACTTAAATATTATGGAGTTGGCTATTTATAATGTCCCCTTTCAACAATGCATGTTAAGTCAAAAAAGAGGATAAAAAGTATAATTATTTTGTAGTATTATGGATAATTTCCTGTAGATGCAGTTAAAATCTCTTAAAATAATTTTGATACTTATTGCCTACAATTTGCTTTTATTTGGAGCAAATCCTAAATATTTGCTGAGACAAAATGAGAATGAAATTTGAATGCCAGAACTTTGGAATTTAGCACTCTATCCTCACCATCTATCATCATCTCTTTCACATTCAAGAACAAGGTCTTGACTCAAACCACAAAACTGTCTTAAAAACTGACAAGATAAAAACATGAAATACAAAGTTGTAGGGTGTGTATTTCCCACTTGAAATTTGAGCCCTTAAGGTGGAAATTTACGGACTCATCTTAGTCATCGTAATGGTGAGATGCTTGCAAGTTCAAATTTCAGTATAACTTGATGACTTTGAAACCATCAACAAAAAATGTTAGGTTCTGTGAGATTGTGTCAAAGTTAATGAGATTTAACTGTACTATTATAACCTTGTAATTCTTATTTGTGGCGTCTATAAAAATGGCTAGGTCTTTCCTTTGGTATTTGAAATGTGAATATCAAACTGGTTTCTACTGACATACTTCCTCATTTCCTAGAAGTCTGTGCACTTGGTATGACAGAAACAAGCATAAGATGTTTTTAGTTCAAGTTCTAAATTCTGCACAGCGTTCTGTACTTGTGCTTTAAAGAATCAGTGTGCTTAAATCATAATAATAATTAATTGGATTTACCTCTTTTCAATTACTGGGTAAAAGCCCAACTCTCTTTCCCCATCTTACATTGGATTGTCAGTCAGTAAATCAGTTCAAATAATGCTGTTTAAAAAGGAGAGGCAGATGGTTGCAACCTTAGCTAACATTGTTTGTTTTGTTTTGTTTTTTAACTACAGTACACAAACAACTACTTTAGTGCTAATAATTTGATTTATTTTGTAACATGCTCAACAAAAAAGACTTTCCTTTCTTTGAAGAGATTTATGTCTGAGAGAGACAGGCCGACAGATGGTATAACGCATGGAAAATCCAGTGTGTGAATAAATTAATAAACGTATTCACCATCGGGTTTCATAAATTATGTTATCTACCTTTTTGCAATAACTTAGCAATTTAAAGTTCAGCAAATGTATTTTTTCACATCTTGCAGCACTGTTTTCAGACTGCCACATTTTTCTTTTCCTTCACTGTTAGCCTTGCACCTGCCTATTCTAAAACTATTTTACCACTCTTTCAAGAACAATTTCACATTGCAGGGTTAATCTCAGAGTTACGGAGCCCCAAATGAAGTTCCCCTTTTAGGAACTTCATGGCTGTTAGGCACTACTGTGTTAGAGCAACCTACACTCCAGATAGCATCATTGTCCTCACAAGGAGAGAGCTGAGGGAGAGGGCAGCACTGGCCTGCCCTGTTCTGATGACTGGACTAGGCATTTGTACTTTAGTAATCCAAACTGTTTAAACCTGTTTGGATCACCAATTAAGGAATTAAGCTAATATACCAGTGTTGTCACTTTCATGATGCAAATTAAATTGCTAGACCAAGACATTGTTACTTAACTATTGGGGTTTTGGTGCTGACCTTAAGATACAGATCAGGAGAATTACTTTTCATATCAGAGGTGCTCGTGTCTCTTTAGGATCCGTTTTCTGAGACTATCAGATGATGCTTATTAGACTTCAAAGAAAGGATAAATCCAAATCACTAGTAATTTTTAGCATGACATTAGTCTTCTATTCTATTATTAAAAACCTGCTATACAACTTATTGCAGATAGTCAGTAGCAGAATTAATGCTTACTATTTTCACTTCTTTCATACAGATTCATGATGTTACATCAACAGCTAGTACTTGTTTTTGGAATATCACTAGCTAGAGATATATTTGCACCTAGATGTTATTCAGAAGCCCAAGTTGCCATGTATAATTCGTGCAACCTCACAGCTATTCCACCTGTGCCAAAGAACACCATGAAGTTTTTGCTAAATTTCAACTATATCAGAGAAGTGAATGCATTTTCATTTCCACTGCTGGAGCATTTGTTGCACTTGGAAATTGGAAGCCAATATGTCTCACCTGTTATCATAGGAAAAGAAGCTTTCAGGAACCTGCCAAACCTCCGTGTCTTAGACTTAGGACAAAATGAGATTCTTCAGCTGGATCTTGATGCTTTTGTGGGCTTGACAAGTTTGACTGAACTCCGGCTGTTTCACAACAACCTTGGAGCTTCCATCCTGGAGGAGCATTACTTTCAAGATTTGATCTCATTAGAAAAATTGGATCTTTCAGGAAACCAAATAACAAAACTTCAGCCTCATTCCTTGTTTTATAATCTAACAGTCTTGAAAAGTGTGAACCTGGCATTCAATGACATATCCAAACTGTGTGAAAGCAATCTTACCAGCTTCCAAGGAAAACACTTTTCATTTTTTAGCCTCCGTGATACTTATTTGTATAAGATTAATGAAACCGTCTGGGCCAAATGCCCAAATCCTTTCAGAAACATTACCTTTAACTTACTGGACGTTAGTCATAGTGGCTGGAGCGCAGAGAAAGTCCAGCATTTCTGTACAGCCATTAAAGGGACTCCAATCAATAATTTAAGTTTTAGCTTTCATACAATGGGCTCAGGATTTGGATACAATAACTTAAAAAATCCAGATAATGATACATTTACAGGGCTAGCAAAAAGTGATCTTCGTGTGCTTGATATTTCCAATGGTTACATTTTCTCTCTCAATTCATTAATCTTTAAAAGCCTTGGTAATCTGGAATCACTAAACCTTTTCAGAAACAAGGTGAATCAGATCCAAAGGCAAGCATTTTTTGGCTTGGGAAAACTAACAACTCTCAATCTCTCAAGTAATCTTTTAGGTGAGTTGTATGATTACACTTTTGAGGGGTTACATAGTGTAATGTACATTGATTTGCAGCAAAACCATATTGGTATGATTGGTCAAAAATCATTCAGTAAATTAGTAAATCTGAAAATAATCAATCTGAGAGACAACGCCATTAAAAAACTCCCTTCCCTTCCACGTCTGACATATGCCTTTTTAGGTGAAAATAAGTTAATGTCTGTATCTGACACAGCAATAGCTGCCACGTATCTTGAATTAGAAAGAAATTGGTTGGCAGATCTGGGTGACCTGTATGTTATTTTCCAAGTTCCAGGTGTGCAGTATATCTTCTTAAAACAGAATCACTTCTCTTACTGTGAGAAAAGTGTTACTGTTACAGAAAATAATCAGTTAATTTTTATGGATCTAGGAGAAAACATGTTACAGCTTGTGTGGGAGAGAGGTTCATGTCTGGATGTGTTCAGGCCACTGTCCAAACTTCAGGTTCTATTTCTGAACAACAACTACCTTAATGCTCTTCCACAGGGAATTTTTAGTGGCCTAATATCTCTAGAAGGACTTAATTTGGCTTCCAACCTCTTGTCTCATCTCTCTCCTGGGATTTTTCCAAAAAGCCTAAGACACCTAAACTTGTCTGGAAACCAGCTTTTTTCCCCTGAGCCTGAAGTCTTTATGTCTTTGAGAACTCTGGATATAACACATAACAGCTATGTCTGTGATTGTACTTTAAAGAGCCTACTAGTGTGGCTAAATGAAACCAATGTAACTCTAGCTGGCTCACAGTTTGACAGGTACTGTGTGTACCCACCTATGTTGGCAGGGGAACCACTATCATTTCTGACACATGATTGCGATGAAGATGAACTCCAGCAGGCACTCAGATTCTCAGTATTCATCTTCACGTCCACCACCCTTCTAATGTTTTTAATGGCAGTCATCATTTTTACTCGCTGTCGTGGGATTTGTTTTGTCTGGTATAAAACTATCACAAAACAATTGATAGACAGACATCCACCAGCAGCAGGTACAAGTGAATACAAGTATGATGCATATTTGTGCTACAGCAAAAATGATTTTGAATGGGTCCAGAATTCTTTGCTAAAGCGCCTGGATTCACAGTATTTTGATAAAAACAGATTTACCTTGTGCTTTGAGGAACGAGATTTCATGCCTGGGGAAGAACATATCAACAATATTCGTGATGCCATTTGGAACAGCAGAAAAACAATTTGCATTGTGACCAGACAGTTTCTCAAAGATGGGTGGTGTGTGGAAGCCTTTAATTTTGCCCAGAGCAGGTACTTTAGTGATCTGAAAGATGTCCTCGTTATGGTAGTAGTTGGGTCACTTTCTCAGTATCAACTGATGAAGCACAAACCAATTCGAATCTATTTACAAAGGAGTCAATATCTGCGATGGCCTGAAGATTATCAAGATATAGAATGGTTTTTAAATAACCTTTCTTACCAAATTCTGAAGGAAAAAAAAGTGCAAAGGAATGTCGATGGTATAGAGCTGCAGACTGTAGCGACACTCTCACATTGACAGTGTATGGGTTGTGGCTTTCCAGATGCCCTTTTTCTAGCTGTGCCAGGGCAGGAAGAAACAGAAGCTTTGCTTCGTTCTTCCATGAAGAAGCAGGTAGAAACAAAACTGTTTCAGTTTTAATCCTACTAAATGTAGAAACAACTTGAAAGCAACCAGCAAATACGAGGAAGTGCAATTATTTTATGGACTATGGCACCCATTTTCAGACAAATTAATGAATCACAAATGCCTCACATTTCTCACATTTTGGATGCTTAGTTTCAAACAACTTAATACTATTTACAGACTGCTACATACTTACAGGTCTCTGTTTCAGTGAGAGGAGGAAGCCCATTTTTTTTTCCCCCTAAAAAAAGAGTCCATTATACTGTACATGACCCGCGTATGTTTTCATGTATAGCCTAATGTGATCATTGGTTTATTGATTACTTGCTCCTGTGCTTTCTCAACTCAGTAAGTTTTCATGCCCTATTTCAAAGTAGCATTAGTGTTTTACACCTTTATGCTTTAAATTGGTGATGCACAGATCTTATTTATTTGTTCTCTATTAAATTATCCACAGCTTCTCAACTGCAATGTACAACTTAAGAATTTCATTCATCCCCTTCCCCTCCACAACTTCTGTTTGGTGGTAAAACTACAGTCATTGGGCTACTTCATTTGCTGCTGTTTCAGTCTGGCACTTTCTCAGTTGAGCTGCCTCCAGCCCTGCAGAGAGAAATGAGCATCACCTACAGATCTGAAGCAAGCCTGGAAAACCAAACAAACCATCTTGAAAAACAAACAAGAAACTACCTCAGCAGCCATGGGGGCTGTACACCAGTGATATGGCCAATAGTACAGTATCTGCTAGGCAGTTTTCACATTCTGTGGGTGGAAAATGAAGATAACTTTTGTGTGTCATTTGGGTTTTTCTCTGTACATCCTGTGTCCTGATCAACTCTAAGATTTTTTTTTTTTTCTGGTTCTTATTTAAATGTTTTTTCTGGAATCATAATTGTCTATTTACCCTCTAAATATTTTATCACTGTTTTGCTCAGGTGTGTATCTTCAGGAGGTTGCTCAGGATCATTTTAATAAAAGTCTGAGCTGTCACTAATGTGGTGTAACCTCAGCAAGCAGCTGAAGTATCCCACAGCCACTCGCTAACTCTCCCCAGGTGGGTTGGGGATGAGAATTGGAAAGGTACAAATGTGATACTCATGGGTTGAAACAAAGCCCCCTGAAAAAGCAAAAGCCACATACACAAGCAAAATAAAACAAAACAAGAATTTATTTGCTACTTCCTATCAGCAGGCAGGTGTTCAGCCACTTCCAGGAAGTGGGCTTATCACGCCTGACAGTTTCTGGGGAAAACAAATGCCATCACTCCAAATGTCCCATTCTTACTCCTTTACCCCAGCTTTTGTTGCTGAACATAATATGGTGAGCCTCACCTCTGTGCCTGGCAAGATCATGGCACAGATCCTCCTGGAAGCAGTGTCAAGGCACATGCAAGACAAAGAGGTGATCCGAGACAGTCAGCATGGCTTCATCAAGGGCAAATCCTGCCTGACCAATCTGGCGGCTTTCTACAATGGAGTGACTGCATCAGTTGTCAAGGGAAGACTGACTGATGTCATCTACCAGGACTTCTCTAAAGCCTTTGGCACAGTCCCACCTGACATCCTGGTCTCCAAATTGGAGAGAGAAGGATTTGATGAGTGGACCATTCAGTGGATAAGGAGTTGGCTTGAGGGTCGCACTCAGAAGTGTTGGTCAATGGCTCTGTGTCCAGGTGGAGGTTGGTGACAAGCGATGTCCCTCAGGGGTCTGCCTGGGGACTGGTACTGTTCAATAGATGGTGGGATCGAGTGCAGCAAATATGTAGATGACACCAAGCTGAGTGGTGCAATTGATACCAAAGAAGGAAGGGATGTGAACCAAAGAGACCTGGACAAGCTTGAGGTTTGGGCCCATGTGAACCAAGTTAAACAAGTCCAAGTGCAAAGGTGCTGCACCTGGGTTGGGGCAATCCCAGGCATGAGCACAGACTGGGAGAAGAAGTCACTGAGAGCAGCCCTGCAGAGAAGGACTTGAGGGTTCTGGTGGATGAAAAGCTCGACATGAGCCAGCAGTGTGTGCTTGCAGCCCAGGGATTCATGCCAGCTGCATCCTGGGCTGCATCAACAGAGGAGTGGCCAGAAGGTTGAGGGAGGTGATTGTGCCCCTCTGCTCTGCCCTTGTGAGGCCCCACCTGGAGTGCTGCATCCAGGTCTGGGGCCTGCAATGCAAGAAGGATGTGGGGCTGTTAGAGGAGGATCCAGAGGAGGGCCACAAAGATGGTCAGAGGGCTGGAGCACCTCTCCTATGAAGAAAGGCTGAGAGAGCTGGGGGTGTTCAGCCTACAGAAGAGAAGGCTCTGAGGTGACTTCATTGTAACCTTTCAGTACTTAAAGGGGGCTTATAAAAAAGATGGAGAGTGATTCTTAGCTCAAACAGGTAATGAGAGGACAAGGGAGAATAATTCCAAACTAAAAGAGGAGAGATTTAGATTAGATATTAGGAAGAAATTCTATACTCAGAGGGTGGTGAGGCACTGGCACAGGCTGCCCAGAGAAGCTGTGGATGCCCCATCCCTGGAGGTGCTCAAGGCCAGGCTGGATGGGGCTTTGGTCAACCTGGTCTAGTGGGAGGTGTCCCTGCACATGGCAGGGGGGCTGGAACTGGATAATCTTTGAGGTCCCTTCCCGCCCAAGCCTTTCTGTGATTCTATGATCATATTGTATGGGATGTGTCTTTGGCCAGTTTGGGCCAGCTGTCCTGGCTGCATGCCCTCCTGTCTCCTTGTGCACCCCCAGCCTCCTCACTGGCAGGGCAGCAGGAGAAGTAGAAAAGTTCTCGGCTCTGTGCAAGCACTGCTCTGCAACAACTAAAAACATCAGTGTGTTATCATCGCTATTTTCATTGAAAATTGAAAGCACAGCATCATACAAGCCTCTTCAAAGAAAATTAACTCTATCCAAGCCAAAACAATGACAATTGTGCACTGTTATAAAACCTGCACCCAGTTTTTTTGATTGTGACACAGTCTTTGAAGGTATTGTTCGTCTGATTTTATACATGTGTTCAATAAAGGCTTACCAAAACAAGTTCAGTACGGGTTGGGTGAATTTTTCACTGTAGCGAAGAAGCAGGAATGGACTGGTTTATAAACTGGCTGTCTTGATCTTAGCTGCAAACAAATAGTACCATCTTAACTATTTTCACAGAAGCAATAAAGTACAATATGCTTCATGAGAACGCAGCTCTTCAACTAACGAAGTGCCTGTGACTGATATAATTTACTCTCAATGTAATAATATGCATGATTTCTATTCATACAACTGCTACAGCAAAATATTACTTTTTTCTCAGTCGGTGTAGTCATTCAGAAACAGAAAAGGGCTAAACTTTGGGAAAAGTTCCTGTTCGCATGGGGCAGGGGGATTAAGAAAAGGGACGGGACTGTGCTTTTGAAGCCCTGGGTGTCGCTGTTGGCTTGGGTAACAGCTCAGGCTGTCCTAAACTCCTCCTGCCTCCGGTCCTCTGCAGCTGCTGACATTATTAGGGACGAAATGCTGCGGCACAAAGTCAGAAAAAGAACTGGCAGCCCCGGCTTCCCAGAGACCCCGTGGGCTGTAACGAAAGCCACCACTCCGTGCATTTCTTACAGGTCTCTGAAAGCATCCAACTTTTTCTATTTTCCCCAGCCAGTGCAAATATTTAAAGACATTCTCTTCAGTCAGAGGTTATATATATATATATTCAATAAAAGCTTACCAAGCTACTGACAGCCAAAGCAGGAATCAATCTGTACAATCAAGATCACGTGCAGGTCTAGGTGATGGATCTGTATGCAGTGTAAGAGATGGGAATTTTAAAAGCATGTTTAAGAAATTATATTTGAATGACTGTCACAAAACTTTTTTAGGTCAAGTGTTAACTGAGAGCCCTCTCCAGTAAGGACCTTATTGTGTACTTACCAGACACTCCTATCACTTCAGGTACTTAAAACTTATTTCAGCTAACCTATGTATGCAGGAACTAAAGCCAAGATGGCTTTAACAAAGTCTTTGCTTTTTTGTTTGAAATGCTACTCTCTACTGCTTATGGCACTGGTGGAAGGTGGCTAGATCAAACTTGCATTTACTTCAGTCTTCTGACTTTTTACATAAAGGTAATGAAACCTTCGGATGAAATTTCATTGTCTGCCCCATACCTCCATATGATATATATACCATTTTGGAAGCATAAAGAAAGTAAAACTGTGTTAGGAGCAGCTGGGAAAACATCCTTATACCACAGAGGCATCTTAGAAACATGAGTAGCACAGCCTCCATCTGCTCCTTGCAAATTCTAGTGCAAGGGATTGGCAAAAGGAAGTAAAGAGATTTTTGGAGAACATGCTACTGAACCGTTCCTGATTGTGGAATGGTTGATAGGCATATGAATAATTCCAGTGTGAAATTTTCAAGAAATCTGAAATAACTTCGGTTTTTACTCACTGTGAAACCACCCCAAGCCTGAGACACTCAGAACAAATGCAGTCGTCCCAGCTGGTACAGTCTGTCCTATCCAATGAAAAAAATGACTTCAAATAGATCATAGGACTTCAATCACCACTGCTGTGGAATCACCTCCTCTTAAATGACAAAGCCTGGGGAATTGTCAAGAAAGGGCTTGTGCAGACTTTGTACTGCTCTGCTCAGCAGGAATCACAAAGGTGTCCTGTACAAAAATGGAGAATGACTATGTTTGATGAATTAATGTCATGCATTGAGCCTCAACCTCATAGCTATTGCTCAGATTCCCTTAAGGCTCACCGGGAACATTACTGCTCTATTAGAATTTTATGGCTCTTTAGTTAAGGATACTCTCATTGGTTTTATTCACCTTCCCCAGTGAAAGACATTAACTTGTTGTTGGAGAGTGTCCAGAATAGAGTGTGAAGTGTGACACTGGCTCTAAAATAAGCTATTAGGATGGAAGCTGGTGAATTTATTCGCAGTAGGAACACATGGAATATTCAGACAGTGACTTAGTGCCACATGCTATCAGCTGAGATATTTGATAGTAAGACCCTGCTTCAACCATTGCAACATGTATTATAAACATTAACTGGGGAAGCAGTCAATGCAGTGGATCAAGAGTTATAGCTAGCAAACTTGTCAGAGTCCAGTGAAGCCAGGCTTCTGCTTCCCTTCCCATCCAATATGCACACTAGGCTTACCAAAGTATTGTCCAGTTATATTTACTAATCCCACTTGCTAATCCCTCCTCAGACACTGTTCAGCATGCTGCTGGAGCTATCACCTTGTTCATTTACGGTTAGCATCCATTGTTGCTCCCACCGCAACAGCTGTACAGTAGCTGTGGAGAATGCTACCACAGATAAGACTAGAAGAGAATTCATTCTCTTGAGTGGGACACTCATCCTTACGTTGCTCAGAATCACACTGCCTTTCTTTTTCTTGGGCAATATCATTAACTTCAGCTCATTTTTTGACTTCTGAGTCTCTCTGAGCATTACAGCTCTCCTACTTCCCACTGCCAGAGACCATCTGGGTTTCAGATTATTGTACACCACTTTCTCAATTTCATGTGGTACTGATTATTTTACAATGGCTTTAACATGTTCTCTTCTCACTGGAACTGTGAATTTCAGCAGTCCAGTTAAATCACAAAGCAAGACCCATACATGGCAAGATACTTAGAGATGAGGAGCAATACACAAGTGAGTGGCAGGAATGGGAGGAGAAAACACTGCAAGTGGAGCAGAAGCGGCACATGTGAATCTGGCAGA